ATAAAGGGACAGAAGGTTGAGAACCACTGCTTTAGAGGGTAGATACAGCCATGGGCAAACTACGGCCCGCTGGCCGGATCCGGCCCATTTGAAATGAATAAAACTAAAAAAAAAAAAAGACCGACCCTTTTATGTAATGATGTTTAGTTTGAATTTATATTAGTTCACACAAACACTCCATCCATGCTTTTGTTCCGGCCCTCCGGTCCAGTTTAAGAACCCATTGTGGCCCTCGAGTCAAAAAGTTTGCCCACCCCTGGGGTAGAACTAGCCCAGGTCTCACACCTGGGGCTCTGAGGCCTGTGGCGGGACCTCTGAAGTCAGTTATATATGGTCAGGGAGCCCCGCCTCCGCTCTGCTTCTCGGCCCTCAGCTCAGAGCTGCCTTAGACCCTGTCTTCCGCAAGGGTGGTTCCCGTCCCCATGTGAGTCCCTGTCTGGCCCTGCTTGACTGCCATTTCTCAGATGTATGGTGTTGGCACCAATACCACCGTGTTTCCACAAAGGCCCTGCAGCCCGAGCTTCCCCTCGCCCCCTTTCCTCCTGTCTCTCCTGCCCTCAGCCAACCCCACGACACTCGACACGCCTCTGTGCTCAGGCACCTGCCAGGGCTGAGGCCTGGTCCTGCCTCATTTGCTTACTGTTTTCTGTTCTTGCCTTCCCTCTCCGGCCCTGGCCACCCCACACACAGCGCTACCACTGCTGTCAGAGCATACAGCCAACGCCGCCTGCCACGTTTGCCCCTGACACTGGGGGTGCTGGGGTTGCCCTTGAAGTTTCCAGCCCTCCCCGAGGCAGCCCACAGACACCGCTTTTGCTTTCACCTTTTTCTAAATAACAGTAGAAAGGACATCTTTAGAAACAAAGCCCCCCCAACTCGATGTATTTTCTTTTTACTGATTTTAGAGGAGAAAGGGAGAGGGGTAGAAACATTGATGAGAGAGAAACATCATCGATTGGCCACACTGCCACACCCACACCCACACCCACACCCGCCCGACTGGGATCCAGCCGGCAACCTGGGCATGCATCCCGACCAGGAATCGAACCAGTGACCTCCTGGTTCCTGGGCTGATGCTCAACAGCTGAGCCACACCTGCTGGGCTAGATGTCTTTTCTGATGGTGATTTCCCATAAATGGCATGACTGGCTCAATGCACACGGCCAGCTGCCTTCGCCAGGCCTCCCTAACTCTAACGCAAAGGAGTGGGGAAGCGCACGGCTGTGAGTCAAACCCGGCTCCACTTCTGCCTCACGTGTGACTCTGGCCTCTCTGGGCCTCACGGTCTTCATCTGCAATACGGGGTCGGTCGTCGTCCCTGCGCGCAGGACCATAGTAGGACTAGGCCATGGCTGTGAAAGGACCCACTCACTCACTGAATACAGTGCTGCTTTCTTCCTTCTTTGTGGCCCACTTCTGTCCCAAAGACAGTTGACAAGTCCTAATTCAGCTTCTGTTTCTCCATTTTCCCTGAGGTGTCACTTGGATCCTTGTAGGAAAGTGGCACTTCCCAACCTGAGGGAGCACAGGGCTGCCCTGCAAGGTGGTGCAGGCTGTGCACTCACAACCCAGGGGCTCCATCCACACACCATGGACATAGCAGGGTGCACATTTGTTACAATGCTTTTCTAGGGGGAGGTGACTTGTGGGCTGGTACCAGCCTTAGTACCAGACAGACTGGCTTCAAAACCCCATTCTGAGGCCCTAAGCAAGCGATTCGATCTCTCTGTGCCTTTTTCTTGATCAATAAAATGGTAATAACCATCACTACTTTGCAGGGCCAGGTGTGCAGTAGACACTATAAATGCTGATTTTCGCCCCTTGTCTTTGCCCTTGAATGGCAGTGGGAGACAGGAGGGATCAGGTGGATTTGTGAATGAAAGTTAGAGCTAGTATTCACTGAGTGCCTGCTATGGGTCAGGCACTTTCCATTCGTTAACTCACTTTATGTTATTTTCATCCCCGTTTCACAGACGAGGAACTTTAGGGCACAGAGAGGTTGAGTAATTGCCTAAAGCCACACAACCAGGCAGCCAGGATTCTAACCCATCAGCCTGGCTCCAGAACACTCTTACCCACCATGCCGCAAAGGGCAGAATGTAACTCGAGCTGGGCGGAGGTGGGGGGCTGGCCATCTGTTTGGAAGCCCCCCAGTACAAGTCCCATCCTGACCCCTGATCCTGGCTGAGCCAGGCCTTACCTCCACAGTGATGGTGACATTGACCTCAGTGCTGAGGACAGGCACGCCACAGTCAGCCACACGCACAGTCAGCACAATTCGGCCCTCCAGGGTGGGGTCGATGGCCTCTCTGTCCAGGGGCCCCAGGTTTCTGAGAAGTCCTGTGTCAGGATCCACCGAGAAGTTGTGGCTGTAGGGACTGGGCAGCAGGCTGAAGTACAGGCGGCTGTTGTTGGTGCCTGGCTGGTCCTCATCGTGAGCCTGTACAGATAAACGGGGTTTGGTGTCAGCCTTTGGTGCTACCATGGCCCTCAGTCATACCTCTGCAGCCCAGCCTCCCCTCCAGCACTGGCCATGAGGGCAGTAACTGGGTCTGAAGCCTGTGGGATGCTGGCCAATCTCCCAGCCTCGGTTTCCCATCTAAGAGGGTCAGATCAAGAGCTTGCAAGAGCTTCTGAGACGGTCATTCATTCCACAAATGTCTCCTGTGTACCTACAATATGTCGGCTCTGTTCTAGGCACAAGTAGTAGAGCCGGATCAGGACAGCTCCCTTAAGGAGCTGGTATTCTAGTGGGGAGGGAGTCATGGGGGGAGTATATTATAGACACTCAAAATTTAAACAAGCACGGCGTAAGTGTGACGTCAGCAAGACGCTGATATTCTCATGATGACTGTGTGTACCTGTCCTGCCAGGGTCCTGAATACATGCTCAATTGCCTTTAGGTTGATCCGGCACAGCCAGTACAACAGGCCTTTGTCCATGCTGTCCCCTCACCCTGAAGGCCCTTTACACCTTCTCTGCCTGACTCCAGGCCAGGTTGGCGCCTCCCCTGGGCCTCCATGATCCTTGTGTTACCTTCAACATAGCAGAAGTGACACCCTGGAGCTACTGTCCAGTGCCCTCCTCTAACCGAGAGTCCTCTGGGGGCATGGTTATGATGCGTTCACCTCAGAAAACCTGGGGTCCAGCAAAGGGCTTGGTACATAGTAATAGATGCTCAACACATGTGGTTTTGAATACAGAGTGGGGCTACTCTGACTTGGAACCAATCCTTTCCCCTTCCTCCCTTCCCAGCCTCCATCTTCAGCTCTTCCATTTTAGTTCTGTTGGAATCTTGTTTATTAAACGCCTCCTGTGTAGGTAGCCCGAGATGGTTTTTCCAGAAGCCTGGCCCCATCTGTTCATCCCTCAGCACTCTGAACTCAGGCCAGCTTCTCTACCAAGTGCTTCTCAGGGCTCACATGGGCACCATGGTTACAGCAGCAGGTCTGACATGCTCCTGACCAAGATGCTCTAAGCCCAGGGTGAGAAGCATCGAGGAGCAGCGGAGAAAGGCCCAGGATGTTGACCTCCAGCCCACCACTGCTTTTACTGGTTATGCAACTACAGAAAAAGTCACTTAACCTCCTTGAGCCTCAGTTTGCTTCTGTGAAATGGAGACCATTAGAGCATTTGCTTCCCAAGTCAGTCTAAAGATCAGAGCATGGGAACGTGCTCTGGAAACCACACAGCCCAGGAAAGATGGGAGGCTCCATGGCCACGTGTGTGTTATTCTGATGACCTGGCCACCCGCTTCTCACGAGACTCCCTTTCAGATGACTCAGAGGAGAAGCTTCCCTTAGGTGTTTCTCTAGAGACAATAGTGGATTTTATCTCACAAATTCAGTCAACCCAGTCATTGATCATATATATATATATATATATATATATATGCACGAATTAAGTGCATAGGGCCTCTAGTATATATATATATAATTGATTTCAGAGAGGAAGGGACATGGAGAGAGAGAAAGAAACATCAATAATGAGAGAGAATCATTGATTGGCTACCTCCTGCACATCCCACACTGGGGATTGAGCCCACAACCTGGGCATGAGCCTTGACCAGAAATCGAACTGTGACCTACTGGTTCTTAAGTCAACATTCATTTCCTTTTTTTGCTTTGGCCATTAGGAAGCTCAGAACTGAATGTTCAGGCCACTCCTAGCAATTGTGTGGCTCTGGGTTCTAGACCTACCTTTGTGCCCTTTAATAATACCATCCTTATTTTCTCTCTCACTTTATTTCTTTCATACTTTTATTTTTTTAACCTAAGCCACCTCTAATCCTTTTTGGAATAAGGCAGGGGCCCGAATTAAAAGGAGCAATATGTTTTTGAGGGCTTGCTCTGTGCTAGGCTTTGTGCCGAGTACTTTCCATACATTATTCCCCAGTGACCTTGGGAATAAGTAGGATGATTGCCCTCATACTCTGAAGAGGAAACAGGGGCCCAGAGAGGCTGAGTGACTTCCTCTTAGCCACACAGCAAAGCCCAGATGCCAACCCAGGGCCAGCAGGACTACAGAGCCAGGCTTGGTGCCCTTTTCCCTGTCTCCCCGTCCAGGTCCAGGCTGGTTTGTACCTGGATGGTTATGGAGACATTGCCCTTCTCCTCCTGGACAAAGATGTTGTAGGAGCCGGTGACCACTGGCTGGTTGTCGTTGATGTCCAGCAGGTGGATCTCCAGCGTGGTGGAGGACGACAGGTTCCCGCCATCGGTGGCCTGCAGCGTGAGGTAGTACACCGCCTGCTTCTCCCGGTCCAGCAGCTTGCTGTTTTTCACTGTCACCGTCCCTGAGTCTGGATCCACCGCAAAGATCTCTGCCCTGTGCCAGGTGGCCAGATTGAGCAAATAAAAAGATAGGTGCCCACTTAAGATTGAAGTTCAACTAAGCAGTGAAAAATATTTTCTCACATTTGCAACATTATGGAACATTTGCAACCTATTTATGCTAAAAAAAAATTATCCATTGCTTATCTAAAATTGCAAGGCAACTGAATGTCTTGTTTTGGGTTTTGGGGGTTTTTAGGTTTGTTTGTTGTTTGGTTAATCCTCAAGTGAGGATATTTTTCCATTGATTTTTTAGAGAAAGTGGAGAGGGGGAGACAGAGAGAGACAGCGATGTGAGAAAGACACATCGATTGGTTGCCTCCTGCACAGGGATGGAGCCTGCAACTGAGGTTACGTGGCCCCTGACCGGAATCAAATCCGGGACCCTGCAGTCCGTAGGCCGATGCTCTGTCCACTGAGCCAAACCAGCTAGGGAGGGTGTCTTATGTTTTATCTGGCTACCCTAAACACCTCATGCCCACCCAGAGACCTTACCCATTCCCCGAAAGCAGGCTGTAGGTGATGCGGCCGCCCTCACCCGTGTCTGGGTCAAAGGCCTGTAAGGCAGAGGGACAGATAATGGCACACTGTTCAGAAGCAATGGCTCTCACTGCCAACCCCACACCTGATGGAGACCAGGCTTCCTGCCTCCTGACACAGATTCACACTGGACACCCCCCACCCCCCATACATACTCACACGTGCATGCATACTTGCTGGGACCCAAAGGTACCAAATGACATGGAGACGTGGGCAGGGCCACAGTCCCCGGTCTGCCCTCCATGTCCCCCAGCCTGGCCCAGCCCTGTCCCCCATCACTCACATGAATACTGTTGGTTACCACAGAGCCCACTGGACTGTGCTCGAAGATACTGAGGTTGTAGTGGCTCTCAGGGAATGTGGGCCTATGGTCATTAATGTCTCTCAGGTGGATGGTCACCAAGGCAACGGAGGAGTTCCTACTGACCGAGTCAGTGGCCACAACCTGAGGAGAGGGAAGGAGGCAGCAGCCTTGGGACCAGAGTGTCCCATGGCCTGAGCTTCCCAGTGCCCCCGAATGCCCCTCACCTGCACCAGCATCACCGTCTGCTTCTCGTAGTCCACCAGGGACGGGTCCCGCACCAGCACCTGCACGTCAGCTGAGCCTGCTGCCTTCTCAGGGGAGACACTGAAGGCCGTGGCATCAGGGCCCTCCAGGGACAGCAGGAAGGTGCCATTGCTACCCTGTAGAGGTGGGATATACAGTAAGCACCCCACCTACTGCAACACACACACCTTTCCACAAGTCTCGGGCCTTAGGTTCCTGCCTTAGGAAACCTGCCCCCTGAGGTCCCATGAGAGGGAGGCTCTCAAAAAACTGAGGCATGAGGGTCCTGGAAGACTGGGCTCATCGCTAGTCCCTGGAAATGTAGGCCCATCAGACTTCTCCAGGCTCTGTGGGCCCCAGATCTGAGCTGCAGAGATGGAGCCCAGACACACACACACACACACACACCACTCCCATGAAGCATTGCAACAAGCCTTCCCTACCAGCTACCATCCCCACCCTCCACCACTCATACCAACACCAACACCAATACCCAGCATCACCCCATTACTTACATCCCCTCCACTCCTCTAAACACCAACCACCCACTCAACACACCCACCCAATTACCACCCCCCAATATCACCCTCCACTCCACATCTTATGCCAACTCAATGTCACCAAGTGCAACCAAACACTATCCATAGCAGTCATCATTCAGTACCAAGCAAGTCACCCACCACTCAGTATCATCCTCCATCTAAGTATGCCCTGCATCTTAATAGTCACTCAGACCACCCTGTGCTCAACACTCCCCACATCCCTCAACATCCAGTACTATCCCAACACCTCTCAGCTTCAACCCCCATCACCACCCTCTCCTCAACACCACCAAAAGCTGTATTCCACTCAATGTTACCCGGCATCCAGTACCAATCTCCATTCCACTACCTTTCTGTTCACCGATACCTAGCATCACCTTGAGCACAAGACTACCCACAATATCCCTCAACATTTCCAAATATCACCCAACAACGCTGATTTTCACCACCACTCATGATTGGCACCACCGTCGCCCATCACTCATCCCCCACCATGCTCGCGGTACCTCACTTTACAGGTTACTCTGCATCTCCCTCGCCCAGCCATCTCCCATCATTCCCCCTGCCCATGCCATCCTTCATCTGGGTGCACATGCCTTGTCTGGGTCGTAAACCACCATGGTGAGGTCATCGATGGGGATGCGGGTGGCGGAGTGCTCGTCCACAGAGCCAGTGAAGTTGACTTGGGCTTCTTTGGGGGTGAAGGTGCAGGCCGGGAGACTGCAGTTGAAAAACTCGGGTTTGTGGTCATTGACATCTGTCACCCTCAGCGTGACCCATATGCTCACCTTGGCCTCCTGCCCGTAGATGTTGAGGTTCACCTCTGTGGCCTGAGAGCAGAGCAGAGGCCAGAGGTCAAAGGTCAGAGAACCAGTGCTCAGGAAGAGCTGAGATAAAAGGTCAGAGGTTAGAGAGGGGGATGGAAAGGGTGTGATGGACCCCTCACTCACCGTGATCTGTACTTGCACCTCCTCATCCTCCTCCAACAGCTGCTCACGGTCCAGGGAACCGCTGACCCTGATCACCCCATCTGGCCCGATGTCAAACCAGCCAGGCCTTGTGGAGTCTGGCAAGAGGCAGCAAGAGCAGCTGCTTTCAGTGGCTTTGCTGAGCCTCTACCCCTTCTCTGACCCCATCCCCAGCCTGGGGCCACCCTTGCTCTCACTGGAGATGATGTAGGTCACCCGGTCATTGATGCCTTTGTCTCTATCCACAGCCTCTACCTTCAGCACTGAGGTTCCCTGCAAGGAGGCATGGTCAGTGGTCCAGACCCTTTCTCCATCTCTCATCTCCACCTAGACCCCAGCCCAGGCCCCCAGCACACCTGGAGTGCGTCCTCAGCCACGGAGGCCGAGTAGAACTCCCTGACAAACTGGGGGTCCAGGTCCGGCTGGTCGATCACAGAGATGGACAGGAAGACAGGTGAGGAACACTGGGTGATGAATTGGTTGTGGAATATGCCGCCTGAGTCCTGTGGGGAGACGGGCCTCCGTGAGCGGGGCCAGCAGTCCCAGTGCCCCGGCCCCAGCTGTGCCGGCACCCCCACTCACACAGGCCACCAGCTTCAGCTGGTAGAAGGCACTCTTGTTGTTGTAGCTGAGGCTGCCATTGAGAATGATGGAGCCGTTGGACAGGATTCTGAAGAGGTACTCGCTGTCCTCAGTGCTCGGGGTGACCTGGGGCAGAGCACAGTCAGGCCACACTCCCCGATGGCCCTGCCCTGACACCTGCTCTGAGAGACTGCAAGGGAACCCCACATCTGCCGCTGACCAGCCCTGCAACCCTCACCAGGGCACGTAACCTCTCTGAAGCTCAGTTTCTGAGCCTCGGTTTCCTCTGGCAGGTGGGCTCAGATATATGCCTCTGTGGGTGGAAAGGAGGGTCAAGCAAGCACAGGTATGTGCCAGGCAGGCAGTGGGTGCTCATAGACAGGAGCTACAGCTAGCAAGTCTGTCCTCATGAGAACCGGGTCACACTCCTATGTCTGTGTGATCTTGGACAAGAGCCTGTACCTCTCTGAGCCTAGATTTCTTCTACCAGATGGTGTGACACGGACTCAGTGTCCAGGGCAAGAGGGTGGGAAGAAGGGTTCTGTCTACAGCAGGTACCCTACTTATGCTTCTGGGCCAAGTGAGGTTCAGAGGGGCCACCAGAGGCTTGAGGACTGGAGCTGGACCCCTGCACAGCCACCAACCTTACCCAACCCTCAAGGTCCCTGCTGGCTGTGTGGGAGATGCTGCCCCTAGTGGTCATGAGGGGTGGTGGGGCCCACACTCACCTCCTTTATGAAGTATTGCACAACACCCGCAGGCCCCGTGTCTTTGTCCGTGGCCAGCGCTGAGAACACCAGAGAGCCAACTGGCAGGGTCTGTAACAAGAGACTCATCACCTATGAGCTCCAATCCACTCCCCTCACGCCTGAGTGCGTCACACCCCCGCCCTGACCTTCAGGGTCCCCAGCTGTCCCACTGAGATGATGACACCCCTTCCAGGGCCTGAAACCCAACGTTCCACAAATGTTCCCTTTTCCTTCCCAACTCATGGGCCTCTGGAGGCAGCCAGAGGAGCAGGAACAAGTCCCCTCGACGCCTCTCCCCACGCAGCCTTCCCACCACTTGAGCTGGCCTCTGATTTGCAGTGATGACTCCAGAACCCAGGATGTGTCACCCCCCTGACAGACATCCCTGTGGGCTCTCTGTAGCCCACAGCGGTAGTATGTCCCAGGCAGCACCCTGCAGAGCCGGAAGGTTCTTCTCAGAGGCCTTTGCTGCCTGGAACCTGGCCCTGCAATTCTTGCCCACACCCTCACTATTTCCACATCGTGGCCAGATTCTTGGAAATCAGACTGCATCGGTCCCCCATTCCACTCAGAATATAAGGTCCATGCTGCCTCCACAGCCCTCCACAGTCGGCCACTGCCCACCTCTCTGGCCTCCCCTCCCCTTCACTCTCCACCCTCCATCCACACTGGCTTCCTGGCCATACCTAGAACTTTCCATGCTCATCCCCACCTCAGAGCCCTTGCATCTACTGTTCCCCTGCCTGGAACATCTTTTTTTCTGGAGCATTCTATAGCCAGCTTCCTCTTGCCTTCTAGGTCTCTGCTCAGATGTCACTTATTCAGAGAAGCCTTTGTGACTGCTTAACCTAAAACAACCCCTCCCGCCCCCGCCCCCAGTCATCCTCAATCTGGTTTTGTCCTGTTTTATGAGCTCCATGAAGATTCACACCATCTGAAATCATGCTTATTTAATGTTTCCTTGATTAGTGTCTGTGCTCTTGACTAGAATGTGAGCTACTAAGGGTGGGCAACCAGGGCTGTCCTGTTCACCAGATATCCTCAGCACCTAGGACGGTGCCTGGGACTAGCAGGTGCTCCATCAGAGCCTGTCTGACCTCACCAGCCTCACGTTTGGTGTTGCGTGGAGACCTAACCTCATGGATCTTCAAAGCCATGTGGTAATGGCGTTGTTTGCTGCTCAGGGACACCTGGGGAATCTCTCCCCACCTATACAGTTCAAGTGAGGCTGCCTCCCCTTACTAGAGGGGAAAGCCTATGATGCAGATCTAGCCAATCACAGCATTTCATCACCACATGACCCAAAATGGGCCAATGAGAGGCAGCCCTGGGGTTTGGGTTGGGATCACCAAGAAAGAGACAGTCTGTGTTGAAGTTGCAAAGCTGGTGGGATGGGAGCCTGGAGTGACTGGGGACGCTTTTATCACCACAAGGGAGAACTGCACCCCTGCCCCAAGATGGAGGCAACAGAGCAGCAGAGCTGAGAGGTGGAGAGAAATCTCTTCTGGATGGCATGGTTTGAATAACCTGGATCCAGGCATGCCTGAATCTAGGTATAGCTCTACATTTTTCAGATACACAAAAAAATCAACTCCTTTATTTCTTTTATAATTGAAAGAGTTCCAATCCAGTCTGATTGATTGCCAAATGTTGCTGTACCTATTGTTCATGGGGCTGCATCCCCTGGATTTGGTTCCTACAACCACCTCCTCTAGCAAGTGCTTTTCCCAATCCTGGATCCCTATTGGCTGTCTCTGGTCCTTCCCACTCTGAGAAGAGCTTCTAGGATACCTGACCTGCACGCCCCCCCCCCC